TCGTCGTCGCCGTCGTCGTCGTCATCGTCGTCGGCGCCGTCGTCGTCGTCGTCGTCATCGTCGTCGTCGTCGTCGTCATGGTCGTCGTCGTCGTCGCCGTCGTCGTCGTCGTCGTCGTCGTCGTCGTCACGTCGTCGTTGTCGTCTGCGTCTGCGTCTGCGTCGGCAGGGTCGGGCCGTCGTCGTCGTCGGCGGCGTCGTCGTCATCGCCGTCGTCGTCGTCGTTGTCGTCGTCGTCGTCCTCCTCCTCGTCGTCGTCGGCGTGTTCGTCGCCGTGGTTGTCGTCGTCGGCGTGTTTGTCGCCGCCGCCGCCGTCGCCGTCGCCGCCGCCGCCGCCGTCGCCGCCGCCGTTGTCGTCGTCGTCGTCGTCGTCGTCGTCGTCGTCGTCGTCGTCGTCGTCGTCGTCGTCGTCGTCTGCGTCGTCGTCTGCGTCGTCGTCGTCGTTGTCGTCGACGTCATCGTCGTCGTCGTCGTCGGCGTGGCTGTCGTCGGCGGCGCCGTCGTGGTCGTCGTCGCCACCACCGCCGCCGCCGTCGTCGTCGTTGCCGCCGCCGCCGCCGTCGTCGTTGTGGGCGGCGCTGTCGGCGGAATCGTCGTCGTCGGCGTCGTCGGCGTCGTCGGCGTCGGCGAAGTCGTCGCTGTCGTCGCTGTCGTCGCCGTCGTCGTCATCGTCGTCGTCGTCGGCGCACTGCGCCGCGCCGCGCGCCCCCGCGCCGACCGCTGCCCTCTTTCTCTGCGCACCCGGGCGCTGCCAGGGCAGTCGGGTGCAGCGGCGCGGACGAAGGCGCCACGCGCCTGGGCGAGCGGGGCGGGGGCTTCCTCCTCCCTCTCTGACTTCCGTCCTCCGCCCTCCATCCTCCCTCCTCCTGCTCCTCCTGCTCCTCCCGCTCCTCCCTCCTCGTCCCTCCTCCCCCTCCTGCCCCAGCCGCTGTCCAGGCTCGAGGGGCCTTTGGGAGCTGCTACCAAGCAGCAGCGAGCTCCTCCTCGGGACAGCTGCCAAACGCGTCGCCTGGCCCCGCAGCCACCGCCATAGTGCTGCACCCAGGCGGCCGTGCGTACGCTGTTGACACAGGCGTGCCCGCGCCGAGTGGCCCCGAGCAGCAGAACAGCAAGGGCGAGGCGGCGAGGCAATATTTCAGTCGCCGAAGGTGCATGCGTGATGAATCCTCGCCACATGTAAGTCTCCGACGGCATGCAAGACCATGCATCCTGGGGATGTGCTACACCACAGGAGCCTGGGAAGAGCATGCGTTCGTCCAAGGCTGCGCTTACTCTCTCCTCCCCAATACCAATGCCATTCTGGAACTCCTTTAGGGGCCGTTGGTGGTGGAGTTAGCGCGGGACACGCTTAGCTTGTCCTGGCATTGCCATTCATCAGCCGTTCAGGTTCTTTCACGACTTTGCGCCTTCGAAGAGCTCTCTCCATGGGGCTATGTGGACACATGCGTATATACGTATATATAAAAATGTATGCATGTATATATATATATATGTATATATACATATGTATACATATATATATATATATATATATACATGTGTATACATACATACGGGCGGATCTGGACGAGACAGCGTTTTCCCGCCAGGCGCTCAGCTCCCCAAAGGTGTTCCTCGTACTGGGCCTCCAAGCTGGGGATTCGTGGCTATGGTCACCGACACCGTAGGTTACAAGGCCCTGCTAGGCTACGCCGTCCAGGACGTCGACCCGCGCACCACTTCCTGCTCCCTGTTTTCTTTCCTCGCAGAATATACGCGGCTCAATGGGCCATGGCGTGGATGTTGCGTGTCTCTGGAGGTCTCGATGTTGGGCGACAGCCTGGGAGATTTGGACATCATGAGCAACGAATTATATTGCCGTGGCTCTGGAAAAGCACAGGCAGGTTCTCGAATGGCCCCCTACGCTATGTCAAAGAAGAGCTAGCTCTTTTCGCGCATCACATGTTCCAGGATACTCAGCGATGCCTTGGAATGAGCTTGCCGACGCGCTATGTTGAATGGCGTCTACGCAAGTATATCAGCCTCCTCAATTGCCGGAGGCCTGGCAAACAGCAGCGTGCGCCGACGCGTGCAATCTAGCCTGGGCCTGGCTGGAACACCGGGCCGTGAGGGTGGGCGCCCGAGCTCAATATCCCCAAATTTGCCGCTGTCGCGGCCTGCCGCTTACCATCTCGCCGATTTCGGCCTCCTGAACAACTTGGGGGCCCCGCGGGCGCGCCGCCCGTCCGAGATCGACACATCTCGCTTGCACTTCGTATCATTTCAGCTAGCGCGTTGACATTCGATCCTCTCCAGGTTCGACAGAATACGGCCCCCGGGCAGTGTTTGCCAGGATAAGAGGTCCCAGACCCTCGCAGGCACTCGTGAAACGATGTTCCCCAGTGACAATCTCACCAACGTCGGCGATTACTATGTTTTGCATGCCAGCTAAGATTCGCCCCGAAGATCTGCGCGCCCATTCTGCGTCAACCTCAGCGCGACCAACGCTGACGGCCAGCGCTTGAATGCCAAGCACTGCCGAGTTTTACACGCCAGCCCTCGTCTCGTGGTAATTGCTGTGGGATCTGCCGCGCTACGCTGCAACATCGCGGTCGGGCGCGGCCCGCGCGGCGTTGCTCGGGCTCGCATGTTTCGCGAACGGTGGAAGAACACCTATCAAACGTTGAGCAAGATGCCAGGCCCAAAGATTCCCGAAATTCACTCGTGGGGCTCCGACGGCACTCTGGGTTCAGTGACTTCCAGCAGCGTAGGAGATCTTCAAGCCGAGGCGGAAAATCTCCCCGGGGCCCCTCTTTTACAATATGTTACATCAGAGAGAAACCTCTGGATTCCTGCTACTACCTTGGCTCGCAATGGTTCAGACGGGGCTCCGTGGTCCTCGCCAAATCACTAGGGTTCCAAGAAAGGTAGGCGCATCGACTACTGTGCTCCCAGGGCGTTGCCATCGCCGATGCCAGGGTCGCACGTGACATCGAGCTGGCAACCGCAATCGCATATCACAGAGCAGTTTCAGTCACGGACCAGCTTCCCCTCCTGCACGAAGCACAGACGGTGCATGCCTATCCGCGTACTCTATGTGACGAGGCAGCCTTCAGGTTGGCTCCATCATGCAGGCTCCTGGGTTCCCTGGGGGGCTCCACGCGCAAGTTGCTGACTCGTATCGCTCCCGCTGTTTCGTGGTCCCAGGGGGGAGCTGCATGGCGTTTCCACAGCTAGTGTCTGGACCAGGCCAACAACTACGCAGGGAACTTGGCATGCAACTTCGCGACGGCTCTAGTCACCAAGGAGGTCCAGCAACCGCGACTTGACTCGGGGGTCGAGCTCAGATTGCCGGTTGCAGATGCTCGATCCACCAGTGTGCACTCGGATGCCGAAGCGCAGCCTGCACGCGCCACGCACGCCATGGACGCGGCTTATTTCGACGATGCCATGTTCCTTGGAACGCCAGAAGACTTACTCAGGCTTGCGCCCCGCGCCGCCGCTGTCGTTTTCGACGCCTTCGAGTCCAAGGGCATCCGGCTACGCGCCTCCAAAGGGGAGACTGCGGTCTTGTTCCAGCTCCGGGGCACTGCCAAGAGAACCTCATGACCAGAATGGCAGGGGGCTCTGAAATTCATTTCCAACATGCACGGCCCCGCGGAGCTCTTCGCGGCCAGGCAGTGTACGCGCCTAGACACGGTACTTGACGATGGATGCTCGCTAGGTCCTGAACTCGCACATCGTAAACCTGCTACTGTATCATACTGGAGAAGGCTCACAAGGGTTGTTCGAGACGAGCACATGGAGAGGAGCGTCAGTCTTACCATCGTATATTCGTTAATGTACTCCAGCAGGCTCTACCAGGCAAGCTCTTGGCCGACGCTGACACTCGCGCAGTCGGCTCAGCTCAGCGACGATCTCGTGCGCGTGCTTCGAGCAGTCGTCCGTTCCCCCCGTATTGACAAGTCTTCGCTCTCCTCAGCTTAGACGCTTGCCATGGTCACCGCGCCCGCACTTGAGCACGATTTCAATGATCCACAAGCTTCGTTTCATCGGCGGGCTATTGCATCACGGACACTTGCGCCTTCTTGCTCTGGTAGAATATTGCGCGCAGCTGTGCCGGGCATCCTGGACTCATCACGTTTACGAGGACATCGATTGGCTTCGCCGTCGCCACTCCAAGCTAAAGGTCGTTCCAGGGCCTCAGGAGAACCTCGAAGCTTGGGGAGACTTTGTGCTGGGATCAGCTGCCAAGTGGAAGACTATGCTCGATCGTGGACACACTTGCCCGCGTGGCCGGGATCGAGGCCTTCCAGGTCATGTACGATGCCGGCCGGGGCACCTAGGGCAGCTACCGACCCCCAGGGAGCCCTCACTACGTACATGTACAGCTGGTGCGACACGCAATTCGACACCATCAAGGTCCTCAGGCAATATGCTGCTCGCGAACATCCGATATTTGATGATTTTTGTACGTCGTACAGCGTCTCATCTAGGAGATGCCAGGCGCTGTTGTGGTTCCCTTGCCGTCTTTGCTTCCCGCAAGCCGCTGGTAGAACGCTTGGCGTTTTCGTCTCCACGGTGCGCCATCGTTCCCTTGAGCATTCAGCCCGACGGACCAGTGGAGCATCGCCGGCAGCTGAACGAGGAAGCTGCCACCGCTGCCGTAACCAAGAGAGCTGCAGCTTCCAGGACAAGCTCGAGGCTACCAGGGATCCGTTCGCTCGGGAAGTCGTCGCTCCCCTGGCCGATTCTGAAGCCCACGGAGTGCTAATTCGCTTAGGGGTAGTTTTTTCTGGAAGAAGCCGCCTCCAGGTACTTGGCTCTGGCTGGAGCTGGGGTCCAGGATGACGTCGAGGAGACTTCGCCCGACGGTCGGTTCTAGCCCTTTTCGGCCCCAAAATTACCAAAGAGTTTTAGCGGAGCCTGTCCCTTACCAAAATATGTCGCCCGCTATTTTCTGTTTTCAGCCGTTTTTGTGGCAAGCGAAGATCTGGGGATGTTTAATGGCACCTTTCCGCCACCCTCCCCTCGCCTAACAGGGAGCTCTTTTGCCTGTCCTTAGAAACCGCCATAGAGGCTACCAGAGGAGATCCCACGGACGCTGCAATTATCGAGCTTTGGATAACTCATATCCGAGACAGACGAGCTTTGAACACGGGAGGACCCCCCCCGCGAGACTTGAAACGCTGCGAGGTGGCAAGAGGCTCCCTCTCCGCTGCGGACCTTTGACGTTTTTTTGGGGGATCCAAGGTTGCTCAAACAGACATCAAGAGCAGTTGAGAATCTGTACCAAACTTCTACACGCTTCATTTCGTGTGCTGTCCGAGCACCTCCGAGCTGCGACTGGGGGGGGAGGGGATGAGGAGGAGGAGGAGGAGGAGGAGGAGGAGGAGGAGGAGGAGGAGGAGGAGGAGGAGGAGGAGGAGGGAACGAGAGGAGGAAAACGAGGACGACGGATGCGGAGGAGGAGGAGGAGGAGGAAAAGGGATGAGGAGATAGCGCTCTCCCCCCCTCGTCCTCCCCCTCCTCTTCCTCCTCATCCGCCCTCCGCTTCATCCGCCCCCCTTCTCCTACCTCCCTCCCTCCCTCCCTCCTCTCCTCCTCCTCCTCCTCCTCCTCCTCCTCCTCTCGTCCTCATCGTCCTCCTCCTCCTCCTCCTCCTCCTCCTCCTCCTCATCCGCCCTCCTCGTCCTCTTCCTCCTCCTCCTCCTTCTCCTCCCCCTCCCTCCCTCCCTCCCCCTTCCCTCCTCGTCCTCCTCCTCCTCTCCTCCTCCTCATCCTCCTCCTCCTTCACGTCCTCCTCCTCCCTCTCC